ATGGAGAATGTAAGAAGAGGAATAAGGACACCCCAATGTGGTTGAGAAGAGTGAAAAACTGTAGCAGTCGGATCTTACCACTGGAAGCTCCAAGCAATGGAGGAAGCTGTGAGATTAGGCCTAAAATGGAGAGATTTCCAAGCATTTAGTCCCCTCAGCAAAGTCTGTTTTAGGGCTTTATGCCCACTTTTATTCATCCACACATGATTGTGATACATTGTTTCACCCACACAGGGATTGTTTAGCATAACAATAAATGCAAATGTATTTCAGCCTCTTGGTTAGTTGTTGCTCAGCTGTCTATTCTTCCCTAGGATAGAGTTGCCTCATCTTCTCGTCACCTGACTGGACCTGTTCCATCAGTCACCTGGCTGGACCACTTGTCTACTCACATACTACCACTTGCTTTACTAAGGCACACCATTTTGTTCAGATGTGGACTACCACTATCTCTTCACAATCTCCAACTCCCAGACATCAGCCTGGCTTGTGGGGCTGTCTGTGTAGGCCAGGCAGGCCTGGACAGGTACTCCTCACATGTCAGGCTTCAAGCTACTTTTGAAACCCTGACTAGAGAAGACTCCCTTTTGTAGGCAACACTGGCCTGACTTTAATCAATAGCAGACCCTTTCCCTGCTGGGACAGACACCATGTGCATCTTTACACAGTGGCAGACCATCGGGCTTCAGCTAGAACTGAAGTCTAACTCTTGCTAAGATGTTCCCCTCAGACATCAGTCTGGCTTGTTGGGCTGTCTGTGTAGGCCAGACAAGCCTGGACAGGTGCTCCTCACATGTCAGGCTTCAAGCTACTTTTGAAACCCTGACTAGAGAAGACTTCCTTTTGTAGGCAACACTGGCCTGACTTTAATCAATAGCAGACCCTTTCCCTGCTGGGACAGACACCATGTGCATCTTTACACAGTGGAAGACCATCGGGCTTCAACTAGAACTGAAGTCTAACCTTTGCTAGGATGTTCCCCTCAGACATCAGTCTGGCTTGTTGGGCTGTCTGTGTAGGCCAGACAGGCCTGGACAGGTGCTCCTCACCTGTCAGGCTTTAAGCTACTTTTGAAACCCTGACTATGGAAGACACCCTTTTGTAGGCACCACCTGCCTGACTTTAATCAATAGCAGACCCTTTCCCTGCTGGGACAGACACCATGTGCACCTTTACACAGTGGCAGACCATCAGGCTTCAACTAGAGCGAAGTCTAACTTTGGCTAGGATGTTCCCCTCCATAAACGTATCTTTCTTCACACAGTTGTTCTACTGATTGAATAGTTGCCTTATTCGATTATCTTTTTTTCCCGAGTGTGAATTTTCTGGTGTCCAACCAGACTTCCTTTCCTAGAGAAACATCTTCCGCACTCTGTACAGCAAAAAGGATTTTCCCCGGTGTGAATAGTCTGGTGTCTAAGAAGTATACTTTTCTGAGTAAAACATCTCCCGCACTCCAAACAAGCATACGGACGCTCACCGGTGTGAATTCTCTGGTGTATATTAAGCTTTGCTTTCTCAGTAAAACATTTCCCACACTCTAAACAAGGAAAAGGACGTTCGCGCCCGTGTGAATTTTCTGGTGTCTAATAACTTTCGCTTTCTCTGTAAATCCTTTTCCGCACACAGAACAGGAAAACGGACGTTCGCCTGTGTGACTTCTCTGGTGTACAGTAAGTTTTCCTTTTTCAGCAAAAGACTTTCCACACTCAAAACAGGAAAATGGACGGTCACCTGTGTGACTTCTCTGGTGTATAATAAGTTTTCCTTTGTCAGTGAAACATTTCCCGCACTCTGGGCATGAAGAAGTGCGCTCATCACAATGCATTCTCTGGTGTCTATTAAGGTTTCCTTTCTCAGTAAAACATTTTCCACACCTTGAACAGGAAAATGGACGCTCACCCGTGTGGCTTCTCTGGTGTTCAATAAGGTTTCTTTTCTCAGTGAAACACTTACCACACTCTAAGCATAAATAAGGACGCTCGTCTGTGTGAATTTTCAGGTGTAGGTTAAGTTTTCCTTTACAAGTGAAACATTTTCCACACTCCAAACAGGGAAACGGACGCTCTCCTGTGTGAATTCTCTGATGCTTTAGAAGGTCTGTATTTTGAATGAAACCTTTTCCGCACTCAGAACAGGAAAAAGGGCGCTCACCCGTGTGAACTCTCATGTGTCTTAGAAGGTGTCCATTCTGAACGAAACACTTTCCACACTCTGGACATTTATAGGAACGCTCAGCTCTGTTACTTTTCTTGTGTATTTCAAGTGCTATGTTCCCACTCAGCAAATTTGACAATGAACTCTCTCCTGAGTGATCTCCACAACTTAGCGATTTGATGGAATTAGATGGATCTATCGATCTTTCTGTAGCGTAAGGTCTCAGATAGATATCTGGAATAACAGCACGTGATTGTGCGGAAAATTCCTCAGGATTGGAGGGATCTATTAATCTCTCTAAATGGTAAAGTCTGTGATGTAAGTTCTGAGTCACGGGATTTACTCCTGGAGAACAGTCTGTAGATAAAGGATGTCTTTCTGTGGTATTCCAGACATAACTTCTATCTGTTGGAAACAACAAATAAGTATTCTTCGTGCCTTCCATTTTTATATCTTGGTCTACTTAACAGTTTCTCAGAGCTCAGACATGGAATTGGTTGCAATTATAACCCCGAAATACAAGTCAGATAAAGAATACAATATAACCAAACTGCACCGGGTAATATTGTTTGTGCATAAATGACATTGTTGAGGTGAGAACGGAGGTGAACCTTCCACCTCAATACTTGGAAACATGACCTTATATTGAGGAATGGAGATGGACCTTTCATATGGTGTCCAGTATCTCCTCCTCATTTGTTGGGAACGTGACGTTATATTGAGGAATGGAGATGGACCTTTCATATATGGTGTCCAGTATCTCCTCCTCATTTGTTGGATGACGTTATATTGAGGAATGGGATGGACCTTTCATATGGTGTCCAGTATCTCCTCCTCATTTGTTGGGAACCTGACGTTATATTGAGGAATGGAGATGGACCTTCATATGGTGTATAGTATCTCCTCATTTGTTGGGAACATGACGTTATATTGAGGAATGGAGATGGACCTTCCATATGGTGTCCAGTATCTCCTCCTCATTTGTTGGGAACATGACGTTATATTGAGAAATGGAGATGGACCTTCCATATGGTGTACAGTATCTCCTCCTCATTTGTTGGGAACATGACGTTATATTGAGGAATGGAGATGGACCTTTCATATGGTGTCCGGTATCTCCTTCTCTGGAAATTTGCATAGTGGTACGGGTACAAGGATAATGTTCCTCCTCTTAGCAGTTAACGTTTCTTAGTCTTTCCTTTACTGAAGGATGTCAAGTTCTCTAACTTGAACAAGGACAGAACTAAACTACTAAACTTACATTACTGGAGGAAAATGCTTTAACTTCCAAATACAGAAAGGGGTTCTTTACTGAACATGTGGAAGAATGTTCTACAATAATTTTTGTGATGACTCAATATAATACTGCAAAATGTATTAGATGTGTTTTTACATACAAACCATAGCAATAACTCCAAGTAATTGTAGGAATAACATGGCTGAATATTGATTCAGGGAGTTACCCAATTGCCATTTGTAATTACGAAGAAATTCTTTTATCCTTGTTGGAGGAAATTGGGCTGAGCTTTACATTTGTTTTTTTTTTATTTCATGTGGCTTAATTCAAGTTTTGTTTTTTTTTTTGATGGGGTGAACTTGATGGAAATTTGACTTTTGTTAACCCATTAAATTCCATAAATACACATTTTATACAGTTCCTGTATTTCGTGTTTATTACTTACTTATGTCCATATGTAGAAAAGATTCCTCCTGTTTAATTGTCATAATCATCTCCCCCTCCTCCATAGACTGCTGATCTCCACTCACTCTCTCTTCTTCTTCCTCTTTAATCTCAACTTTGATGTTCTTCAGTTCTTCACCCTAAACACCAAACATGGTAGAATACATTTGTAAAAAGAAAACAAACTACATAGAAGAATATCTCATAGCTTAGAATACATTTTTAGAACTACATCTACCCGATGATGGTGAGGGATGGTGTGACCTTTCTGTGTGGAATCCCGGGAATACAGAGGACGGGGACATCTCTCTGGTGGGTTCCCATTACTAGATCCATATACCTGATGATGGTGAGGGATGGAGTGATCTTCCTGTGTGGAATCCCAGGAATCCAGAGGATGGGGACATCTTTCTGGTGGGTTCCCATTACTGGATCCATCTACCTGATGATGGTGAGGGATGGTGGGATCTTCCTGTGTGGAATCCCAGGAATACAGAGGACGGGGACATCTCTCTGGTCGGTTCCCATGACTGGATTCATCTGTAGGAAACACACACACTGACTGAATCTATTGTTTCTATGTGTTTATTGGATGATGGAGGATCTAGGTGGACCCTCCGTACTGCTCTCTCCTTTACAATAAAGTCTCCTCTTACCCGGTGATGTGAGGGGCGACTGATTGTCCATCATGACGTCCTTGTAGAGATCCTTGTGTCCTTCTAAATACTCCCACTCCTCCATGGAGAAATAGACAGTGACATCCTGACACCTTATAGGAACCTGACACACACAATGATACAGTCACCATCCAGACACATCCCTTGTCTGTTACTGGAGAATGTCTCAGAATTCCCGGCACCGCTCACCTCTCCTGTCAGCAGATCAATGATCTTCTGGGTGACTTCTAGAATCTTCTTGGCACTGGTTCCCTCTGTTGTCAGGCAGTGGAGATGGCTGCTGGGTGTTAATGGTTCATCAGATGTTTTCTTTACTACCTTATAACCCTATGTAAAATGAAAATAGAAACTATCTTTACAGACTTCCCAGAATCCTCCTCACCTCTCTGGTCAGGTCTGTGTTTTATTAATAGAGATAAGAGTGATGTCATGTCACCTCCCAGAATCCTCCTCACCTCTCCGGTCAGCAGGTAGATGATCTCCAGGGTGAGGTTTATTATCCTCTCAGTCACATGGGTTGGGTCGATGTCCATTTTTATTGAGGTGGTCATGAGATTCCTAAAAGATGCTCCTTTCTATGGAGATATGATAAAAAAAAGAATTATCTGGACTGTACTGGGATGAATGATGTCTGCAAAGAGTTCCTCTAAAGTTCCGACATCTCAGTCGTCTTCTTATACTCTGTTACAGGACTTGTTAATCTCAATGAACGTAAACCAGAGGTTCTCTTTAAAGTACAGCTCTAAAACCTTTTATTTTAGGCTCGTACTCTTTTTTTTTTTTTTTTATATGTCAATATTAAATATCAGCATCTGTTGGAAACCACATATATCACAGCTACTATGCAGGAAGAAGAGAGTTACTGAGTGCAAATATAAAATATCTGATTACCTCTCCTAATGTTGGTTCCAAAAAGGAATCGCTCCTGCCTCTCAATTCACCTCTCACCCCGAACTTCCTGTTTATATACCTTTACATCACTTCCTGTCTGTATGTTCTGACTACTGTGAGATTGCCACCCGGTGGAGAATGTAAAAACTGCCACTCACATAATTTCACATTTTGTCTGATGTCTCGTTTTTGATGAATATTGAATAAAAAAAAAAATAATAAAAAACAAAATAAAACTATATATATATATGTACATAAATAAATATAAAGGTTTCAGCTGTCTACTAGACAGCTCTCCTCCTCCCATCCACACTACATTCTCTGACAGCTCTCCTCCACCATCCACACTACATTATCTGACAGCTCTCCTCCCCCCCCACCATCCACACTACATTCTCTGACAGCTCTCTCTTCACAACTCCCCCCACCATCTACACTACATTCTCCGACAGCTCTCCTCCCCCCACCATCCACGCTACATTCTCCAACAGCTCTCCTCCCCCCACCATCTACGTTACATTTTCCGACAGCTCTCCACCCCCCACCATCCAAACTACATTCTCTGACAGCTCTCCCCCCACCATCCACACAACATTCTCCGACAGCTCTCCTCCTCCCAGCATCCACACTACATTCTCCGACAGCTCTCCTCCTCCCACCATCCACACTACATTCTCTAACAGCTCTCCTCCCACCATCCACACTAAATTCTCCGACAAACTCTCCTCCTCCCACCATCCACACTACATTCTCTGACAGCTCTCCTCCCCCCACCACCCACAATATATTTTCTAACAACTCTCCTCCCCCACCATCCACACTACATTCTCTGACAGCTCTCCTCCCCCACCATCCACACTACATTCTCCGACAGCTCTCCTCCCCCCACCATCCACACTACATTCTCCGACAGCTCTCCTCCCCCCACCATCCACACTACATTCTCCGACAGCTCTCACAGCCCCCCCATCCACACTACATTCTCTGACAGCTCTCCTCCCCCCACCATCCACACTACATTCTCTGACAGCTCTCCTCCCCCCCACCATCCACGCTACATTCTCCGACAGCCCTCCTCCCCCCACCATCCACACTACATTCTCCGACAGCTCTCCCCCCCCCACCATCCACACTACATTCTCTGACAGCTATCCTCCCTCCCACCATTCCACACTACATTCTGTGACAGCTATCCTCCCCCCACCATCCACACTACATTCTCTGACAGCTCTCCTCCCCCCACCATCCACACTACATTCTCCGAAAGCTCTCCTCCACCATCCACACTAAATTCTCTAACAGCTCTCCTCCCTCATCCACACTACATTCTCTGACAGCTCTCCTCCCCCCACCATCCTAACTACATTCTCTGAGAGCTCTCCTCCCCCCACCAACCACACTACATTCTCTGACAGCTCTCCTCCACCATCAACAATATATTCTCTGACAGCTCTCTCTCCCCACCATCCACACTACATTCTCTGACAGCTCCTCCCTTCACCATCCACACTACATTCTCTGACAGCTCTCCCCCCACCATCCACACTACATTCTCTGACAGCTCTCCCCCCACCATCCACACTACATTCTCTGACAGCTCTGCTCCCACCATCCACACTACATTCTCTGACAGCTCTCCTCCCACCATCCACACAACATTCTCCGACAGCTCTCCTCCACCATCCACACTACATTCTCTTGCAGCTCTCCACCTCCATCCACACTACATTCTCTGACAGCTCTCCTCCCCCCCACCATCCACACTACATTCTCTGACAGCTCTCCTCCCACCATCCACACTACATTCTCTGACAGCTCTCCTCCTACCATCCAAACTACATTCTCTGACAAATCTCCCCCCCCCATCCACATTACATTCTCTGACAGCTCTCTTCCACCATCCACATTACATTCTCTGACTGCTCTCCACCCCCATCCACACTACATTCCCTCACACAGCTCTCCTCCCCCCATCCACACTACATTCTCTGACTGCTATCCTCCCCCCCCCACCATCAACACTACATTCTCTGACAGCTCTCCTCTCTCCCCCCCACCATCCACACTACATTCTCTTCAGCTCTCCCCCCCACCATCCACACTACATTCTCTGACAGCTCTCCCCCCCCACCATCCACACTACATTCTCTTACAGCTCTCCCCCCACCATCCACACTACATTCTCTGACAGCTCTCCCCCCCACCATCCACACTACATTCTCTGACAGCTCTCCTCCCCCAACATCCACACTACATTCTCCGACAGCTCTCATCCCACCATCCACACACTACATTCTCTGACAGCTCTCCTCCACCATCCACATACATTCTCTGACAGCTCTCCTCCCACCATCCACACTACATTCTCTCTGACAGCTCTCCTCCCACCATCCACACTACATTCTCTGACAGCTCCCCTCCACATCCATCCACACTACATTCTCTTGAAAATCTCTCCCCCCCCCCACCATCCACACTACATTTTCTGACAGCTCTCCTCCCCCCACCATCCACACTACATTCTGACGACAGCTCTCCTCCCCCACCATCTACATTACATTCTCTAACAGCTCTTCCTCCCCCACCATCCACACAACATTCTCTGACAGCTCTCCTCCACCACCATCCACACTACTACATTCTCTGACAGCTCTCCTCCCCCCACCATCCACACTACATTCACTGACAGCTCTCCTCCCCCCACCATCCACACTACATTCTCTCAAAGCTCCCCTCCACCATCCACACTACATTATCTGAAAGCTCTCCTCCCACCATCCACACTACATTTCTCGACAGCTCTCCTCCTCCCACCATCCACAATACATTCTCCGACAGCTCTCCTCCCACCATCCACACTACATTCTCTGACAGCACTTTTCCCCCCATCCACACACTATATTTTCTGACAGCTCTCCTCCACCATCCACACTACATTCTCTGACAGCTCTCCTCCCCCCATCCACAATACATTCTCTGACAGATCTCCTCCCCCCCATCCACACTACATTCTCTGACAGCTCTCCTCCCCCCACCATCCACAGTACATTCTCTGACCGACAGCTCTCCACCACCAACCGCACTACATTCCCTGACAGCTCTCCTCCCTCCACCATCCACAATACATTCTCTGACAGCTCTCTCCCCTCACCATCCACACTACATTCTCTGACAGCTCTCCTCCCCCCACCATCCACACTACATTCTCTGACAGCTCTCCTCCACCATCCACACTACATTCTCTGACAGCTCTCCTCCCTCCCACTCCACCATCCACACTACATTCTCTGACAGCTCTCCTCCCCACTATCCACCCTACATTCTCTGACAGCTCTCTCCCCCCCCACCATCCACACAACATTCTCTGACAGCTCTCCTCCCCCACCATCCACACTACATTCTCTGACAGCTCTCTCCTCCCCCACGCACACTACATTCTCTGACAGCTCTCTCCCCCCCACGCACACTACATTCTCTGACAAGCTCTCCTCCTCCACCATCCACACTACATTCACTGACAGCTCTCCTCCCCCCCACCATCCACACTACATTCTCTCACAGCTCCCCTCCACCATGCACACAACATTATCTGAAAGCTCTCCTCCCACCATCCACACTACATTCTCTGATAGCTCTTCTCCCCCCACCCACACTACATTCTCTGACAGCTCTCCTCCACCATCCACGCTACATTCTTTGACAGCTCTCCTCCCCCCATCCACACTACATTCTCTGACAGCTCTCCTCCCCCCCATCCACACTACATTCTCTGACAGCTCTCCTCCCCCCATCCACACTACATTCTCTGACAGCTCTCCTCCCCCACCATCCACACTACATTCTCTGACAGCTCTCCTCCCCCACCATCCACAGTACATTCTCTGACAGCTCTCCTCCCCCCCATCCACACTACATTCTCTGACAGCTCTCCTCCCCCCACCATCCACAGTACATTCTCTGACAGCTCTCTCCCCCCCCACCATCCACACTACATTCTCTGACAGCTCTCCTCCTCCCACCATCCACACTACATTCTCTGACAGCTCTCCTCCATCCACCATCCACACTACATTTCTCTGACAGCTCTCCTCCATCCACCATCCACACTACATTCTCTGACAGCTCTCCTCCCCCCACCATCCACACTACATTCTCTGACAGCTCTCCTCCCATCATCTACACACCATTCTCTGACAGCTCTCCTCTGCCATCCACACTACATTCTCTTACAGCTCTCCTCCTCCACCATCTACACTACATTCTCCGATAGATCTCCTCTCCATCCACACTACATTCTCTGACAGCTCTCCCCCCCCACCATCCACACTACATTCACTGACAGCACTCTTCCCCCCACCATCCACACTACATTCTTTGACAGCTCTCCTCCCACCATCCACACTACATTCTCTGACAGCTCTCCTCACCCCACCATTCACACTACATTCTCTGACAGCTCTCTCCCCCCACCATCCACACTACATTCTCTGACAGCTCTCTCTCCCCCCACCATCCACACTACATTCTCTGACAGCTCTCCTCCTCCATCCACACTACATTCTCTGACAGCTCTCCTCCCATCCACCATCCACACTACATTCTCATACAGCTCTCCTCCCCCCACCATCCACACTACATTCTC